GTGATGTTCTGGAGAAGGGTACAGCCAGAGTGAAGTTGCTGCTGGCTGCCCGTCTTGTGGCATAAAAGCTTGTTTCACGCTGTCCTCGAAGTGGATCCAAGTGTGGTACTTTGCCAATGTACATAACAGTAAGGCCACCCACATCCCTCCTGTGTTGAAGGCTTTGCTGAAATGACAGATCTATCCAGGATGGGTCCAAACGAGAGATGTGACGTCTTGCTCTGTTCTCTACTCTGTCAAGCAGTCGCAGATGAGAGGGCGGGCAGGCAAACCAAGAAAGTGGAGCATACTCTCTCTCTCTCTCTCTCTCTCTCTATATAAATATATATATATATATATATATATATATATATATATATATATATATAATATATATATTATTATATATATAAATATATATATATATATATATATAATAATATATGTAGGTAGTAGGTTGGTAGACAGCAACCACCCAGGGAAGTACTACCGTCCTGCCAGATGACTGTGAAACAGAAACCTGTAACTGTTTTGCATGATGGTAGGATTGCTGGTTTCTTTTTCTGTCTCATAAACACGCTAGATAACGTGGATATCTTGCTACTCCTACTTACACTTTGGTCACACTTCACAGACACGCACATGCATATATATATACATACATCTAGGTTTTTCTCCTTTTTCTAAATAGCTCTTGTTCTTTATTTCTTCTATTGTCCATGGGGAAGTGGAAAAGAATCTTTCCTCCGTAAGCCATGCGTGTCGTATGAGGCGACTAAAATGCCGGGAGCAATGGGCTAGTAACCCCTTCTCCTGTAAACACTTACTAAAAAAGAGAAGAAGAAAAACTTTATAAAACTGGGATGCTTAAATGTGCGTGGATGTAGTGCGGATGACAAGAAACAGATGATTGCTGATGTTATGAATGAAAAGAAGTTGGATGTCCTGGCCCTAAGCGAAACAAAGCTGAAGGGGTAGGGGAGTTTCAGTGGGGGGAAATAAATGGGATTAAATCTGGAGTATCTGAGAGAGTTAGACCAAAGGAAGGGGTAGCAGTAATTTTAAATGATCAGTTATGGAAGGAGAAAAGAGAATATGAATGTGTAAATTCAAGAATTATGTGGATTAAAGTAAAGGTTGGATGCGAGAAGTGGGTCATAATAAGCGTGTATGCACCTGGAAAAGAGAGGAATGCAGAGGAGAGAGAGAGATTTTGGGAGATGTTAAGTGAATGTATAGGAGCCTTTGAACCAAGTGAGAGAGTAATTGTGGTAGGGGACCTGAATGCTAAAGTAGGAGAAACTTTTAGAGAGGGTGTGGTAGGTAAGTTTGGGGTGCCAGGTGTAAATGATAATGGGAGCCCTTGATTGAACTTTGTATAGAAAGGGGTTTAGTTATAGGTAATACATATTTAAGAAAAAGAGGATAAATAAGTATACAATATATGATGTAGGGCGAAATGACAGTAGTTTGTTGGATTATGTATTGGTAGATAAAAGACTGTTGAGTAGACTTCAGGATGTATATGTTTATAGAGGGGCCACAGATATATCAGATCACTTTCTAGTTGTAGCTACACTGAGAGTAAAAGGTAGATGGGATACAAGGAGAATAGAAGCATCAGGGAAGAGAGAGGTGAAGGTTTATAAACTAAAAGAGGAGGCAGTTAGGGTAAGATATAAACAGCTATTGGAGGATAGATGGGCTAATGAGAGCATAGGCAATGGGGTCGAAGAGGTATGGGGTAGGTTTAAAAATGTAGTGTTAGAGTGTTCAGCAGAAGTTTGTGGTTACAGGAAAGTGGTGCGGGAGGGAAGAGGAGCGATTGGTGGAATGATGATGTAAAGAGAGTAGTAAGGGAGAAAAAGTTAGCATATGAGAAGTTTTTACAAAGTAGAAGTGATGCAAGGAGGGAAGAGTATATGGAGAAAAAGAGAGAGGTTAAGAGAGTGGTGAAGCAATGTAAAAAGAGAGCAAATGAGAGAGTGGGTGAGATGTTATCAACAAATTTTGTTGAAATAAGAAAAAGTTTTGGAGTGAGATTAACAAGTTAAGAAAGCCTAGAGAACAAATGGATTTGTCAGTTAAAAATAGGAGAGGAGAGTTATTAAATGGAGAGTTAGAGGTATTGGGAAGATGGAGGGAATATTTTGAGGAATTGTTAAATGTTGATGAAGATAGGGAAGCTGTGATTTCGTGTATAGGGCAAGGAGGAATAACATCTTGTAGGAGTGAGGAAGAGCCAGTTGTGAGTGTGGGGAAGTTCGTGAGGCAGTAGGTAAAATGAAAGGGGGTAAGGCAGCCGGGATTGATGGGATAAAGATAGAAATGTTAAAAGCAGGTGGGGATATAGTTTTGGAGTGGTTGGTGCAATTATTTAATAAATGTATGGAAGAGGGTAAGGTACCTAGGGATTGGCAGAGAGCATGCATAGTTCCTTTGTATAAAGGCAAAGGGGATAAAAGAGAGTGCAAAAATTATAGGGGGATAAGTCTGCTGAGTATACCTGGTAAAGTGTATGGTAGAGTTATTATTGAAAGAATTAAGAGTAAGACGGAGAATAGGATAGCAGATGAACAAGGAGGCTTTAGGAAAGGTAGGGGGTGTGTGGACCAGGTGTTTACAGTGAAATATATAAGTGAACAGTATTTAGATAAGGCTAAAGAGGTCTTTGTGGCATTTATGGATTTGGAAAAGGCGTATGACAGGGTGGATAGGGGGGCAATGTGGCAGATGTTGCAAGTATATGGTGTAGGAGGTAGGTTACTGAAAGCAGTGAAGAGTTTTTACGAGGATAGTGAGGCTCAAGTTAGAGTATGTAGGAAAGAGGGAAATTTTTTCCCAGTAAAAGTAGGCCTTAGCCAAGGATTGTGATGTCACCGTGGTTGTTTAATATATTTATAGATGGGGTTGTAAGAGAAGTAAATGCGAGGGTCTTGGCAAGAGGCGTGGAGTTAAAAGATAAAGAATCACACACAAAGTGGGAGTTGTCACAGCTGCTCTTTGCTGTGACACTGTTCTTTGGGTTTTTGAAAAGAAGCTGCAGGATTGGTGGATGAATTTTGGGAGGGTTGCAAAAAAAGAAAATTAAAGGTAATACGGAAAGAGTAAAGGTTTTGAGGATAAAAAAAAAGATTAGGGGATGAAAGATTGAAAATCAGATTGGGGGAGAGAGTATGGGGGAGGTGAATTTTTCAAAATTTGGGATGGACGTGAGGAGGGTCTAGAAAGAGAGGTGAATCATATAATTGATGAGGGAAAAAGATGAGTGGTGCACTTTGGATTGGGGGAGACAAAGAATTTTGTCTTGGAGGAAAAGAGGGATTGTAGAGAAGTTTTACCAACGCTCTTATAGGGGTTGGAAAGGTGGGTGATAATTTCACGAGGAGAAGGCTGGAGGCAGGGGAGATTCATGTCTGGGGCAAGTGTGGGTGAATAAAAGCAGAAATTTCTATTTTGGGAAAGTTGGGAGGAGGGCGGGATTCCCAAAACGTTGTCCAGAGGGCTGAGGAAGGTTTTGAGGGGGTTTGGGACATGTGAGAAAAGGGGAGCAAAAACAAAAATGACTTCAAGAGTGTATCGTCTGTAGGGGAAGGGGAAGGGCGGGGTAGGGGTGGGCCTAGGAAGGGTTGGGGGGAAAGGGAAAGGAGGTTTTGTGTGCGGGGGGCTTGACTTCCAGCGGGCATGCTGAGGTTTTGATAGGTGAATGGAGAAAAAATGGTTTTTAATATTTTCGTGCTGGGGGAGTGTGAGCAAAGAAACTTTTTATGAAGGGATTCAGGAAACCGGCAGGCCGACTTGATCCTGGAGAGGGAAAATACGTGCCTGCATCTAAAGGGAGGGGTTTTTAATGTTGCTTTTAAAAAAATGTATTTAAAAGCACCCTTTGGCAAGACAGTGATGGAGTGAATGAGGAAAGTTTTTTTTTTCGGGCCACCCGCCTGGTGGGAACGGCCATGTGATAAAAAAAAAATAAAAAATATAAAATTATATTATAAAGTAGAATTGCGGGTGAACGAGGAGGTTTTAGAGTGGATAGTGGATGTGTAGATCAAGTGTTTACATTGAAGCATATATGTGAACAGTATTAAGATGGACTTCTGCACTAGCCTTCGTCGGGTGTGGACGTCTCTCTCGCCTGAGTATTAGTGACAAATTTCCACCGTTCTCACTGGGACGTTTGTCCTCATCTATTTAGCCCGCCGGGCACTCAACAGGAGGGACACCTGGCACTACAGGAGGGGCACCTGGCACTACAGGAGGGGCACCTGTTCATCGGCTTACTTTAGCCAGCTCCATAAGCATATTGACCCCAATAAGGATATTTCTTTCAGTAACACGATCTCTAATGCTTGGAATATTAAGTTCTTTCCGCATATTTAAAATTTTGGCAGTACGAGGGCATCTTAGGATGATCCTCATTGCTTCGTTTTGCAGTTTTTCCAGCCCTCCAAGCTTCCAGTCAGACACGAGTGCAAGTAGTGGCGCCGCATAATCAACCAATGATCTTATATAAGCAAGATACATCATTTTCACAAATTTAACATTAGCACCATACCTGGGGTGAAACCCAGCCACAACTCTAAGTGCTCTCAGCCTTTCTTTGTATTGGCGACAGTCTCGTTACAACAGGTCCAAGTAGTGGAACCTCAAAGCCTAGATACCTGTATCTGCTTACATATTCTAGAAGAGACCCATCATGCAACTGGATCTGACGAACTGTGCCTCTCTGCCGAGGAGGACGTCTGTTGAGTATCTTTGTTTTATCCCCTGAGATTATTAACCCCAGGTCCTGACACGAGCTAGTACATGATTAAGAATGTTTTGGCTGTTGGTAAGGAGAAGAAGAAAAGAAATGTAAAAATATTACCATCACACAGGTATTTAGCATTTCCTTAGATAATAATAATAATAATGTTTTTGGAATTCCAAATTAACTATATTTCTGGTATTTGTGATAAAAATATTACCTCATCAGTATCACTCAGTAATATTGTTATCTCTAACATTTAATACTTCCATATAAGTATATTAATAATAATACTCTTTGAGAGATATTTTGTTTGGAATTCCAAATTAACTATATTTCTGGCGTTTGTGATATAATCACCACTTTATTAGCTTTGATATTATAATATATTGTAGATTAACAGTTCTTGTAAAGCAAGTACTTAAGTCTAGTAATATTTATAAGAAATAGAAAAATACACTTCAAAAATGTACAAGGGCTTTGAGGATTTAGTTTTCACGTATGATGAAATGTTCATCTTGTGTGAACTAGAATGCAGATCCCGGCTGGGTTCTGGTGTTAGCGGGACCGTGTATAAAGTTGCTTTTGACGGTGAGTACGCCTGCTTGAAACTGGGCAGGTGCCTAGAGGATGCACGAGCCTATGAAGAGGAGGCGAAGATTCTGAGTGTTTTGAAAGGAGCTGGCGGAGCTCCTCTATTAGAATGCTTCTGCAGCAACTTCCCCGCAATGGTAATTTCCTTCAGGGGAGGCACTACCCTACACGACTTTCTAAAACACAGTCAAAATCTTTCCCTACATGTGTTAATTTTGATATTTATCCAAGTGGCCAAAGATCTCCAGGAGATCCATGCACATGGATACATCCATAATGATTTAAAGGGTGATAACATACTCATCAATGAGCCTGAAGAGGGCCTCCTCCAGGTAAATATCATAGATTTGGGTCACGCCAAAAGGAAAGGATGTCGCATGGGATGGGTTCACACTGAGGACGACCATGCCAGGTTTCCACACTATGCTCCAGAAGTTTTTTTTGGTGACCCTTGCACACCACAAGGTGATGTTTATTCCTTGGGCCATCTCATGGCTAAACAAATTGGACATTACCTGTGCAAGAAGAAAATAGACTGGCCTCCAGTCTTACTAAACCTGATAGATAAAATGATGCACTCTCAGTGGTTCAGAAGGCCAACTATACAGGAGGTTATTGAATGGTTAGAATTTGTTATAAATCCTTTCAAATCAATGAAAAGCCAACCAGTTGCTGACAGCCTCAACCAGACTTCAGGAAGGACCTGTGACAATGTTTCTGTGTATGACTCTCCAGAAACAGACGCCAAGACCCCACCTTCCACTCCCTCTCTTCCTTCCCCTCCATATCTTCCTTCCCCTCCCTCAATTCCTTCCCCTCCCTCTCTTCTTTCCCCTCCCTCTCTTCCTTCCCCTCCCTCTCTTCCTTCCCCTCCCTCTATTCCTTCCCCCCATCTCTTCCTTCCTCTATCTCTATTCCTTCCCCTCCCTCTCTTACTTTCCCTCCCTCTCTTTCTTCCCCTCCCTCTATTCCTTCCCCTCCCTCTCTTCCTTTCCCTCCCTCTCTTCCTTCCCCTCCCTCTCTTCCTTCCCCTCCCTCTCTTTCTTCCCCTCCCTCTCTTCCTTTCCCTCCCTCTCTTCCTTCCCCTCCATCTATTCCTTCCTCTTCCTCTATTCCTTCCCATCCCTCTTTTCCTTTCTCTCATTCTCTTCCTTCCCCTCCCTCTCTTCCTCCCCCCTCTTCTCTTCCTTCGCCTCCTTCTCTTCCTTCCTTCATTCCTTCAAATACAGCACAGGCCGAAACCTCACCACAGACCAAGACTCCACCACAGGTCACGACCCCGTCACAGGCCAAGACCGCAACATTGACCAACGCTGCAACAGTGACCGACGCCGCAACAGTGACCGACGCCGCAACAATGACCGACGCTGCAACAGTGACCGACGCCGCAATAATGACCGACGCCGCAACAGTGACTGACGCCGCAACAATGACCGACGCTGCAACAGTGACCGACGCCGCAACAATGACCGACGCCGCAACAGTGACTGACGCCGCAACAATGACCGACGCTGCAACAATGACCGACGCCGCAACAGTGACTGACGCCGCAACAGTGACCGACGCTGCAACAGTGACCGACGCCGCAACAGTGACCGACGCCGCAACAATGACCGACGCTGCAACAGTGACCGACGCTGCAACAGTGACTGACGCCGCAACAGTGACCGACGCCGCAACAGTGACCGACGCCGCAACAGTGACTGACGCCGCAACAGTGACTGACGCCGCAACAGTGACTGACGCCGCAACAGTGACCGACGCCGCAACAGTGACTGACGCCGCAAAAGTGACCGACGCCGCAACAGTGACTGACGCCGCAACAGTGACCGATGTCCCACAACGGGGTGACGCATTAGCTGGGTCTTGTTCGAGATATTTATTCTTGTACTACGCCTTGTACACCGCACTGGCTTGTACATATGGTAACATAAATGAACCAGAACCTAACATAATGGAGTGAGACCTTGGCTCACTTTCTCACCAAAGGAAACTACAAGTTCTTTTTATGAGTTTTATTTTAATTTAAGCATAAGAACATCTATTTTGTAATTAAAAAATCTTATTTTCTTTTATTTGAAAACAAGGAACTTTATTTATTTATTAATATATATATATAATATATATATATATATATATATATATATATATATATATATATATATATAATATATATATATATATATATATATATATATATAATATATATATATATATATACATTAAAAAAAAGGAGCTCGACGAGCAGCCACCTCCACGTGGTGAGTTCTGGGTATTTTGTGACATAAAAACCTCTTACAAAATAGCTGAGAGCTGCTCATAATCTTCTGTGTATATATGTTGAAACTATACATATATACACATACAGGGAAATTGTTGAGAATTTTGGCCTTACCAGCTATGTGTAATAAAGTGGGAGCAGGATTTTCCTTAATTGTCCTGCTAAGTAAGAGATGTACTGTCTCTTATAAAAGTACACTTTGCAACACCGCTGCAAGGAGCAGAGGTCACTTGACTACGTGGCATAGCATCTGTGATCAATTACTCACTCTAGCAGTAAACAAGACGCTCGCCCCTTCTGAGGGCTTGGCCACTCAGGGCTGAAAGGGGCTGAAGGGGCTGAAAGGGCTGAAGGGGGCTGATACCCCCCTCCTGGAGAAAATTTCTCCACAGAAATAGTGGACCTAGTAGTGACCAGGGAGAAGGCTGGGTAAGAAGTTATGACGATATCGATCCTGCAACTATAAATAGGTGAGTACATACATGACTCACTTTTACACAGGGTTTGACAAGGTTATGGATCCCTAGCTTTATTGACAAACTATTTACAGGTTAAGGATTCCTAACTTTATTGACAAGCTAAGAGCTGTTACCTACATCAGCTCATTTGAAAGCATTTTTATTGTTATGAGACATACAAGTATTTTTATTGTTATGAAACATACAAATATTTTTATTGTTATGAAACATACAAGTATTTGTATTGTTATGAGACATACAAGTAAGGAACAGGATGAAGTTGGAGCCATCTGTGGGTCAGCATTTCCATCTGGTCAACTGACTTTATCTCGTTGACATCATTATGCTGTACGAATGTGTTCCATACTCGAGTCATCCTGGGTATATATGATCTCAGATGGAGTGATGTTCTGGAGAAGGGTACAGCCAGAGTGAAGTTGCTGCTGGCTGCCCGTCTTGTGGCATAAAAGCTTGTTTCACGCCGTCCTCGAAGTGGATCCAAGTGTGGTACTTTGCCAATGTACATAACAGTAAGGCCACCCACATCCCTCCTGTGTTGAAGGCTTTGCTGAAATGACAGATCTATCCAGGATGGGTCCAGGCGAGAGATGTGACGTCTTGCTCTGTTCTCTACTCTGTCAAGCAGTCGCAGATGAGAGGGCGGGCAGGCAAACCAAGAAAGTGGAGCATACTCTCTCTCTCTCTCTCTCTCTCTCTCTCTCTCTATATATATATATATATATATATATATATATATATATATATATATATATATATATATATAGTATCCGAAAGCGCTTGAATTATCTCTATTCTTTCAGAGTGGTTTTTTGCATATATATATATATATATATATATATATATATATATATATATATATATATATATATAAAATAATTTTATCTAATTTTGATATATATATATATATATATATATTAATATATATATATAATATATATATATATATATAATATTATATATATATATATATATATATATATATATTATATATAATATATATATATATATAATATATATATATATATACAAAGTTTACTGAGTATACCAGGAAAAGTGTACGGTAGGGTTATTATTGAAAGAATTAGAGGCAAGACAGAATGTAGAATTGCGGATGAACGAGGAGGTTTTAGAGTGGATAGTGGATGTGTAGATCAAGTGTTTACATTGAAGCTTATATGTGAACAGTATTAAGATGGACTTCTGCACTACCTTCGTCGGGTGTGGACGTCTCTCTCGCCTGAGTATTAGTGACAAATTTCCACCGTTCTCACTGGGACGTTTGTCCTCATCTATTTAGCCCGCCGGGCACTCTACAGGAGGGACACCTGGCACTACAGGAGGGGCACCTGGCACTACAGGAGGGGCACCTGTTCATCGGCTTACTTTAGCCAGCTCCATTTTTTCCGCTCTGCGGATAATTCTTGATCGGTCTTTGGTGTGAAGTTATTTACTGAACTCAGGTGTGAGTGTGGGCGTCCCTCTGTGCTGGGGCTTGACAAGGGCGTCCACCGGATGAGTGTGGGCGTCCCTCTGTGCTGGGGCTTGACAAGGGCGTCCACCGGATGAGTGTGGGCGTCCTTCTGTGCTGGGGCTTGACAAGGGCGTCCACCGGATGAGTGTGGGCGTCCCTCTGTGCTGGGGCTTGACAAGGACGTCCACCGGATGAGTGTGGGCGTCCCTCTGTGCTGGGGCTTGACAAGGGCGTCCACCGGATGAGTGTGGGCGTCCCTCTGTGCTGGGGCTTGACAAGGGCGTCCACCGGATGAGTGTGGGCGTCCTTCTGTGCTGGGGCTTGACAAGGGCGTCCACCGGATGAGTGTGGGCGTCCCTCTCTGCTGGGGCTTGACAAGGGCGTCCACCGGATGAGTGTGGGCATCCTCTGTGCTGAGGCTTGACAAGGACGTCCACCGGATGAGTGTGGGCGTCCCTCTCTGCTGGGGCTTGACAAGGGCGTCCACCGGATGAGTGTGGGCATCCCTCTGTGCTGAGGCTTGACAAGGACGTCCACCGGATGAGTGTGGGCGTCCCTCTCTGCTGGGGCTTGACAAGGACGTCCACCGGATGAGTGTGGGCATCCCTCTGTGCTGAGGCTTGACAAGGGCGTCCACCGGATGAGTGTGGGCGTCCCTCTGTGCCAGGGCTTGACAAGGGCGTCCACCGGATGAGTGTGGGCATCCCACTGTGCTGAGGCTTGACAAGGGCGTCCACCGGATGAGTGTGGGCGTCCCTCTGTGCTGGGGCTTGACAAGGGCATCCACCGGATGAGTGTGGGCATCCCTCTGTGCTGAGGCTTGACAAGAACGTCCACCGGATGAGTGTAGGCGTCCCTCTGTGCCAGGGCTTGACAAGGGCGTCCACCGGATGAGAGTGGGCGTCCCTCTGTGCTGGGGCTTGACAAGGACGTCCACCGGATGAGAGTGGGCGTCCCTCTGTGCCGGGGCTTGACAAGGACGTCCACCGGATCTAATTGGAAACTAAAAGTTTCTATATTTACAAAGGAACTTTTGTTCCTTTTCTGTCATCGCTCAGCCTTCGGCAACAATTTTTCCTCGTACCATCGAGAAGCCCATACGGCTTATGCTGTCAGTGGCTCTCATAAACCTAACAAAGCAAAGAAGAAAACAGTATTTAGATAAAGGTAGGGAAGTTTTTATTGCATTTATGGATTTAGAAAAGGCATATGATAGAGTGGATAGAGGAGCAATGTGGCAGATGTTGCAAGTATATGGAATAGGTGGTAAGTTACTAAATGCTGTTAAGAGTTTTTATGAGGATAGTGAGGCTCAGGTTAGGGTTTGTAGAAGAGAGGGAGAATACTTCCCGGTAAAAGTAGGTCTTAGACAGGGATGTGTAATGTCACCATGGTTGTTTAATATATTTATAGATGGGGTTGTAAAAGAAGTAAATGCTAGGGTGTTCGGGAGAGGGGTGGGATTAAATTATATGAAATTAAATACAAAATGGGAAGTGACAGTTACTTTTTGCTAATGATACTGTGCTTATGGGAGATTCTAAAGTTGCAAAGGTTGGTGGACGAATTTGGGAATGTGTGTAAAGGTAGAAAGTTGAAAGTGAACATAAAAAAGAATAAGGTGATGAGGGTAGCTCCAGTTCCTTGGACTGCGAGTTTTTCACCAGAAAGAATTCCCCTTCCCCTGCCGTCCATTGAAGGAGAGGTTCTGGGTTTATCAGCTGCCTGAGACACTACTGTAACTGCAAGTGAAGGTTGCACAACTAATTGGCGTAGATTAAACACGTAACCTGTCAGCAAAATTATTCTTGCACCCTCCGCCAAGTTGTTCCAAGTTTCTCAAATGTATATTCGTGCGACCAGCAGTAAGAACCTGGTTGATCAGGCCCTGATCCACCACGAGGCCTGGTCATGGACCGGGCCGCAGGGGCGTTGACCCCCGGAACACCCTCCAGGTGCACTCCCAACAGCATATAAAATTTCTCAAGATTTCTAAGTTCCCTCACAAAGGTTCAGATATTTTCATATATTTCATCCATAATGACTTATTAAAAATCTAAAATTCCGAAGCATGTTATAAATGACTACGACCCAGAGGCTGGGACAGTAGCCAGTAACCTAGTACATTAATAACTGTGGTACATTAATTAATAACCTATATGCTACATTGTAAATGTTCCAACTTTTGATTGAATAATGCTGAAATTGTTAGCATTCCACTCTGAATTATGTGACTAATTACTCTGATAGACAGTTCATAAGTAATTTAACTTTGTAAGTCGACAGCACATCAGGAGTCCAATCCTAATATTATACCAGTTTAATTTTTTCACCACTACTCACATAATTGGTAATGGAGTTCATAATAGAACTGCTAACCTAAGCAAGTCCTTTTTGAGCCCGGGGAGAATTGTATATTTTAATTTAAAAATCGACTAAAAAAGTATCCGAAGCAAACTATATTTAGATTTATTTTATTCTAATTTTAGCATCATTCGATCTATTTTATCAAGCGCTAAACCTGTGTGGGTTATTCAACGCAAGACGTGGCTGATTTATTATATTTATGGGAAATGATAAACCATTTTATTAAGGGTCGTTAAGCGCCTGGGGAATGAAAGATAGGTTTGATCCAATTAAATGAAAGATAGCTTAATTCCGTGAATTAAGAACCCTCCATTGAAGGGAAGGACTGGAGAATCAATTCTCCTTCCACTATTCACCTTTGTAAATTGTGAGTTCATTACCTTTGTAAATTGTGAGTTCATTACCTCTGTAACTTGCTCAGCTATCAAAACTTTGGAGTCCAGTCCCTGGACCAATTATGTACCTCTGTAATCTTTTGACTACCGCCCACAGGATGGGTATGGGGTGCATAATAAACATATTAAAACTATTCACCAGACAGACACGCTACTGTTAGGCTTCCAGTTAGGTTAGGTAAGGTTCGCCAGGAAATAGGACAAGTGTTTCCTGACGTGGGTCTTAGTCATTTGATGACCTGCCTTTTGAGCTTTTGGTCATCTGACCGAGGCCTTCCGCTGGCTTACAGGCCCACCCTTTAAAAATTATGGTCAGTTATAACCATTTATTTTTTAGGCTTCCAGCGTTGGGTCTCGCATATATATGGACCACGGTTCGAGCTCCACCGAGTATTTTGTTTATTCATTTATATTCGTTCATTACGACTTATCCTGGGTTAATGGATTATCTGGTTTTAAAGGATATGAGAGCAGATGTACCATGACAGCTTCTGGGGCTGTGGAATGAGACACTATGGTCACAGTTGGTGTCCTTTATAGTTTTGACAACAGTTGTAGATGAGTGAAACAAAATGAAGCAAATACTTCGGAAAGCTATAAAAACAGGTTGAACAGATACGTAGTGGAACTGGTGTAGCGTAAGTAGGACCTGTCTTGCAAGGACCAGTAGTGGGCCTGCTATCCTTTCATTGTCCAGAAACCTATATTATTATTATTATTATTATTATTATTATTATTATTATGGGGAAGCGCTAAACCCGTAGGATTATACAGCACCTGTGGGGGGATGGAAGATATTCATGCTTAATTCTGGGAACTGGAGCACAGATCCAATTCCCTAGATCAAAAGCCCCTCACCACGTCAAGGAACCTCCCTTGAGGGGTGCAGAAAGCTAATTTATTATTATTATTATTATTATTATTATTATTATTATTATTATTATTATTATTATTATTATATTTAAGCGCTAGGCTTGTGAAGATCATACGTTGCCTGGGAAATGGGAGGTAATCAGATTTGATACTAGGAAGGGGTAAGGTAGTTCCAGTTCCTTGAATCAGGAGCCTTTCACCAGGATGCACACGAAAGAAAGGGTGGGAAGGAGGCAAGAAGATACCTACCTTTGTTACAATCCAACGGGCACTACCAAACAAGGGTTATAAAAAATGCATTAACAATGGTATATATAATAATGGTTCCAGAGATCATTGTCCGGTCTCAGACCAACATTCCTAAACTAGAAAGGGCCATACAACACCCTCCTGGAGTAATACAATAATGACCTCGTTCTTACCCTGGGTACACACCATCCACATTATTTCTTGACTTACCTGTAGTAGTCAACCACATTCCTGTATCTGGTTGGATTCAGTGTCCTACTACAACTACTACCTGAAGCCATAGTATCTTAAGAAGTAAAATTTGATATTTTTGCTGTTTTATATTTGAAATTAAGCTTACAAATCACAAGTTTCACAATAAAACCACTCAAACGTATAATTTCAAGCTTCTGTTTATGCATCAGCATAATCCTCCTCTTCATTGCTACCTACATATACTTAGACTAGATCCACACATCTGTTTTATCAGAAATAAATTTTAAAAGAGAAAATGTATAGAGACCTTTAGTGGAGGTGACGACGCTTGACTCTTAACACTTAAGAGTAACAACTGAACTTCATCTCTCTTCCCTAACAATACTTTTAAAATGACGAAAAATGTAATTAGTTTTTAATTATTAGTAGTTTGTTGCTATTTATTGAAGTATAGACGCTTTATTTGGTCAATTTCGATTCTTTTTATATTTACGATTCACGTACTTGGGAAAGGGAAAAATCAGCCTGAGTGAAGGTGATGTGAAGGTGAGGGTGAAGGTGAAGGTGAGGTGAGCATCACTTCACTATTGGTGATCACAAAAATAACTTCACACTTGTAGGACTTTACCCGTGCGGGTAATCCTGTAGTGCTTTACATTATTATCCAGTAAATCTGCCTCCCTCCAACCTCTGAGGCTTCACTTCCCTTATTTGTTTACTATTTCCTGTAGTAACATTACCAAACATGTAACAGTTTTGAGTATCAAGTTATTTTCAATATCCATTAATGTACAAATTCACAATGAACACCTCCATTAAAAAAAATGTGCTGATAGGCTAAGAATTAATATGATCAAGCAGTAACGAAGATTAAACAGGCTACTTATTACTAATTAAAATCCATTGTTAAGTACAATATCATTAGATTATTTGTTATTGCCTAAATGTAAATTGTATGTTAGCCTATATAATGTCCATGGATTATTGAGACTGGATTTCAGATGTGAATTTACATCAAGAATAATCCCTCAGAGATGAAAATAAACACTCACTGTATATTCATTTACAAATATACACCTCAAATCAAAAAAAAATATAAATAAAAATCTTTATTTTACAAAGAGGGCCACTAGCATGCCTGGGTATTTCGGGCAGAAATGCCTAAGCATTTCTGCCCTGTTCACGGGTATACATATGAAAAGAAATCACAAAAAATACGTGACCAGTGAAAATATTACAAGAAAATGGCCTGAGTACTTTCGTGCATTTACACACGTCTTCGGAGGAAGTAACTATAAGTTAAATATCTTGAATATTTCTTGGGAAGGAGGGAGAGGGGTGCTGGCGAAGGGTTCATGATTCGAGGAATTGGAATCTCTCCTTCCCTTCCCCAGATCAAACCTGATTGTCTCTCATTCCCTAAGCGTTACATAACTCTTCCTGGTTTAGCGCTTCCCCATGAATATAATATTTAACTTACCGGGCAGGTCGAGATATATGGGCCAGTCTCCTCATACCCACTGTCCCCATTAACCCTCAGTAAAAAGGTACCTGAGAGTTAGTCGATCGCTGTGGGTCGCATCCTGGGGAATGGTGGTCCTACAAACTACTGAACAATTCGAATATTCCCCAAATGACATAATGATGCACTATTTATGCCCAAAGTACATGACAAACTAATTATGAGAGCCGGAATCTTTGTAATCTTAAAAATCTCATCAGTACTAGTATTACGACATCAGTACTAGCATTATGACATCAGTACTAGTGTTATGACATCAGTACAAGTATTATGACATCAGTACAAGTATTACATCTGAGAAGAGGTAGGTATAAATGGGTAAGAGGCGTCAGTCAAGTAGGGTGGGTAAAACAATGAGTTGCACAAGTTGATTTAGCCAGCCCTTGCCAGCACAGTGCAGATACACTTAATATTCTCTTAATGACACGACAACCATCACAAGTATAAAAACTGGTTATGCCAGGTTTTTGAAATATCCAGTTATTAAGAATACTACATATTTTGTCTGCAATATACTAAATTTTCTCACTATCCTACCTTGCAATTCGACATTCATACTGTACATGCCTTGATTCACACGTAACCACAAGGATATTAATAACCTTATCTTACTGTGCAATATTATGTAGTGATCCTTTGTGTTAGAACAGGAGGTAGGAGCTAGCTGGAGTAGGTCAGAGAATATTTAACCAATGAACGGATCATCTTATTAAGACACTTGTAAGGACATGAATCAACCATAAACCTGATCTATTGTCTTAATCGGATTGTGCTAGGCAAGAAGTGGCCCTAGATTATGCTATAAGTGTAGAATAAAGGCCCACTGTAGCAGGTCTACCTCCCCATATTAGTGAGGTCTTATTCTAACCTTCCAGGGATGTGCTCAAATGGCAGTAAAAGGCCCTCCATCCACAGAATTGGAGTTACCCTCCTCTAGGATCACATTTGATAGCCTCATTTCCAAGGCTGTGTAAAATTCTTAATGAACGAGTTTCCTGGGAATATAATAATAATTGACTATCAAATCATTGCTGCCCTAAAACCTTTTTTAAATCCAAATTATGGGATAGCGTAAATCCATTCTTGAGAGTTCTAATATATGAGCAGTGTATTTATATCCTCTTAATTAATTCCAGAACATGAGAGGAAATTTGAAAAGCTGGTAGTGGCCGTGGTGTAAAATCTCCTAAACTCATAAGTAATTCAATTATAAATTTATTACCTGTGATGGTTTGGATGTTGTCACGAAGATGGTATACATAACTATAGATGTACCTTAAAAAGTATGGTGTATGTGGTACTGGTGTAGGAGATAGTATAAAAAATGTGTATATATCTCAGTGTACATACATTTTGATTTCCATTTCAAGGTATTAAATTATTTATAACCTTGATATTAGTGTCTAGTTGAAATGCGGCCTTCTCGACCTTTCTAAGAGTTTTTTTTTAAATATTAAAAAAGAACTTAGTTAAACGTTTGTTAGTCTGTTTAATCATTCCAGGGAATCACTATGTGCTTAGGAGGCAGTAGTACTTACCTAAGTACAGCCCGGAGAATATCCCACCAAGTAAAAGTGATCCATCTTCGAGGAGTGAGCACAGCTTAAGCTGGTGTTAGTCTTCGTCTCCAGTAGTAAGAAAGTAGGCTAAGCTTACCTGACGGCGATCGTAATTGGTGGCCTTTTTGGGGGGGCAAGGAAGCCTCTGACTTGTGAAGGGTACGTTTAGCATTTTTTGTTTCGCATATATAATAGTTACTCCCTCTTCTGTATCGTCTGATGAATTTTCTTCAGGGCCGGAGGTATAACAACGTAACTCACGAAATCGCAGACACAATTGCAAACAAACCATACCACGGGTGGGAATAGAACCCACGGTCAGAGAGTCTCAAAACTCCAGACCGTCGTGTTAGCCACTGGGCCAGCTAGCTGGTCATTTATCTATATAAATTATAATAAAAAGGTGTAGATTTTCTTCGTCAAAGACTGCATAATAACTGAATTTTTTCATACAGAATAACAAATATTGTTAATTTTATTTGGTAATAATTATATATTTTTTAAGTAAAATAGTGTCAGGAGACCAAGACTAACCAACAACCTCCCATCGTAAATAAGGGGAATTACCAATAAACTCAAGAGGTTACTAGTAGGTTCCTAAAGTCAGTTCCTGACCAGCCGGGCTGTATTTCATAGTTTGGACAGCGTACGGCCAGCAGTAACAGCCTAGTTGATCAGGTCCTGATCCACCGGGAGGCCTGGTCATGGACTGGGCCGCGGGGGAATTGACCCTGGAACACCCTCCAGGTAGAATCTGATGCTATAAAATTTGATATTGTCATTAAAGTTTCAGAAACACTAATGAGAAACAACACAGAATAATACAGACAGGAGTCCTCCGAAAACTAGGGAGGCCAAGCCCATGATGACACTCTTCAGGTCACTTGTTCTATCTAGGCTGGAATATTGCTGCACACTAACAGCACCTTTCAAGGCAGGTGAAATTGCTGACCTAGAAAATGCACAGAGAACCTTCACGGCGCGCATAACGGAGATAAAACACCTCAATTACTGGGAGCGCTTGAGGTTCCTAAAACTGTATTCCCTGGAACGCAGGCGGGAGAGATACATTATATACACCTGGAAAATCCTAGAGGGACTAGTACCGAACTTGCACACGAAAATCACTCACTACGAAAGCAAAAGACTTGGCAGACGATGCAACATCCCCCCAATGAAAAGCAGGGGTGTCACTAGCACGTTAAGAGACCATACAATAAGTGTCAGGGGCCCGAGACTGTTCAACTGCCTCCCACCATACATAAGGGGGATTACCAACAGACCCCTGGCAGTCTTCAAGCTGGCACTGGACAAGCACCTAAAGTCGGTTCCTGACCAGCCGGGCTGTGGCTCGTACGTTGGTTTGCGTGCAGCCAGCAGCAACAGCCTGGTTGATCAGGCTCTGATCCACCAGGAGGCCTGGTCACAGACCGGGCCACGGGGGCGTTGACCCCCGGAACTCTCTCCAGGTAAACTCCAGGTTCCTGGGAACCCAGACCCTTGTGGGTTTAGCGCTTAGTTATGATCATAATAATCCTGGGAACCCTGGGTCCTCTGGGTTTGTGGAGACTCCTGTGAGCCCGGGGGTTCCTGGGTCCTCTTCAGTTTGTGAGGGCTCCTGGGAACCCGGGAGTCCCTGGATCCCTTTGGTTTGTGGGGGCTCCTGGGAGACCAGGGGTTCCTAGGAGACCAGGGGTTCCTGGGAGTACAGGGGTTCCTGGGAGCACAGGGGTTCCTGGGAGCACAGGGGTTCCTGAGAGCACAGGGGTTTCTGGGAGCTCATGGGTTCCTGGGTCCTCTGGGTATGTGAGGGCACCTGGGAACTTGGGGGCCCCTGGGTCTTCTAATTTTGTGGGGGTTTCTGGGGGCCAGGGGGATCCTGGGTCCTCTGGGTATGTGAGGGCTGCTGGGAGCCCGGCGGGGGTCCGCAACCGGTTATATCCTGTTACACCAGGAATGATATGTATAAATTCGCGTAATGTCTCCGAGAAAGTTACAGCTCACTCTTGATAATCACTTTCACTTAGACACAAATCTCTGAGGGTTACGTAAATAATGTTTAACAGCACTGAGTTAAACATTTAGTACAAAAGGCATTCTGCCAATGCAAATAAGGTGATGTGTGGGAGGCGGCTGGACGTTGTAAGTTAAGATCCTGTGAATTATGGATAAATTTGATAGTAAGAGTGACGGAGTCTAATGTTAGCTGGATGTATATTAAGTAATGTTTAAGCACTAGGATTAGTCTGCCCGAAATGCTTCCCTATGCTAGTGGCTTTCTTTTGTACCTAACAATATATTATTACACGCAAACTACATTACCTATATACCGCAGAATAGAAATAAACTTATTAATAATATATTAGTCAGGAGAGGCGGCGTCTTTGCTACAATACTCCAGCTCCAAGTGTCCCCACCTCTGCCACATCAGTAATCCTGCCACTGAATATTTCCGCACTATCTATCCTCCACTTAATTTCACGGGTTAAAACAATGAGAGTATTATAAAGGGTGATAGTATGAGAGGTAAAGATGGGTTTACATCGTGGTATGAGGATATAAGAGAGAAAATTGTGGAAGTGTGTCATGTGTGAGGCTGGATTTGGTGGTGGTGATGGAGGAGGGTCAGTACGACGCTAGACGCCACACACACAACATGCCAACCACACGCAGCAGTGGACGCAGGAAGGCGCCTGAACCAAAGGAAGCTGTGCCTGTTAAGAAGGGAAGAAAGGCTGCCAAGGCTAGAGCACAAGGTATATTGTAGCACATTACCTCCCGAGGATGTTGTTATAATGTTGGGGTGTATTTTAAGATAAAATATGGCGGGCTTGTGGCAGTGTGTTGGTCGTGGCATCGCAAACAACGCACCGTGACTTACCGGTAGCCACATTACCTCGTATTTGTTTAATGCTAAGTTTTTATGAGAATAACTTTAATGGCGGGAGTTCGTTGTACTTCGTCCCGCCGTCTGGTCGTGATTAAATTTTAAAATTAGTGACGGAGGATAACTCGCATCCACATTCTGGCGCCACTCCACACTGCTTCTATTTTAAGCCATATTTTTGAGATATTTCTAATTATAACTTAAGTATGAATAAGAAAACATTTGATATCAAGTCTAACGCCTTATAACAATTTTTATAAGACAAATTTCAGAGTATTTAAGGGATATATCCAAGATGGCTACCTTTGTGAAGGATGATTCCCACCGTCAGGAAGAATTGTTCTCAATGATTAGTTATAACTTACAACAAGTCTTAAAAATAACTTCAACATTGGTTTTTGGAGTCAAGTGTGCAGTAGTGGAGGTGGTATGAGTGTAGAGGCGTGTGCTGGAGCAGTGATAATGGAGGTGCTGAGGTAGAAGGTAGTGCGCAGGATCATCTACAATGTCTACTTTATTTTTTTGAATTTATTCTGAAAGTAAGTTATGACAGGTATTGATATCGAATTGTATGCATGTACCAGTGTTACTATATTTTATAAATTGTGTTGTTTTAATGAAGATTATGTTTGTAAATGCAATATTTTGACTTAAATGGTGGTAAGTGGAGGATGGTCCACGTGGGGGGGGATGCTGGCGGCGGCTGTTCCCTCCACCAGTCTCCGCCTCGCTACCTATCTCCACATTTAATACTTAATTCTTATTATATATGCAGAACTATTTAATAGTTTTAGAAGTTATTTGAACGTATGACAAAATTTGGAGATACTTGACGCTGTAAATACATTGCGGAAGGGGAGGAGAGGAACATCGGAGAACTTACGTTTGGATGGATGAGCTGAAGAGAAATGTTATCCACAGGGTTTAGCTCCGTACCATACTAGGGAAAATATTTAAGAGGAATGTCGAGTTTAGGTTCTGGTCTAAAGTTTATTAAAATTACCAATATCAGGTTGATTTTTTTTTTATGGAAGGCGCGTAACCAAACTTCAGGAAATCCATTATTACGCCAGCTGTAGATATGGGATTGACGCGTTTCTCTTACCGCTGTAATATAGTGTTTCAAAAAGATGGACCCGATTTGAAATAGCCGTATCTCTGCAACCACGAACCGCCCATGAATGAAAGTTATACCACTTAAAAGGGCGAGGCATAGAGTTTGAATTGAGCACCACCAGATGCCTCTCCCAGCGCACCATCAGCCTCCTGCACCAGTTAGTCACAAGATGGCTACCCCACAGCACAAGGCATTTTGCGTTCTGCAGTACGGCAGGACTGAATCCGTAATCGCGGTGCAGCGAGCATTTCTACGGCGTTTTGGCATTGATCCGCCGATGCCAAAGAGCATTCGTCGTTGGTACAGACAATTTGAGGAAACAGGCTGTTTATGTAAGGGGAAGAGCACAGGGCGACCACGCACCTCTGAGGAAAATGTGAGAAGAATTCAAGAGAGTTTTCTGCGTAACCCGAACAAGTCCACTCGTCATGCCAGCCGAGAACTTGCTATCCCTCATACGACTGTCTGGCGTTTGTTAAAACGACGGGATTACCGACAAGGTGTAATTGATAAAGGCAAACAGTAATTCAACCTTCAAATGTCAATTGTATACTGTTCTCCATAAAATTTGTTTAGTTTACGTCCACTACTTGCCCAATTTCGGCCATTATAGTTTTAATTGTAAATTAAGTGGTTATTTCAATGGACGCAAATGGTAAAAAACGCAACCAAGTGAAACCATTTAACAAAATAACCAAATTTAATGTAATAACCTTAAAAATTCCTACACAATGATCAGTCTAGTTCAGAAGTAGTAGTCTGTAAGCATTAAAATTAGTCTTCCCGGAAGTGCGCTGCACGCTAGTTTTTTTTTTTTTTTAAGTGCTTAATACATTATTACATTGTAAACCGCTGTATAGCCCTTGTGGCTTAGCTCTTCTTTTTGATTATAATAATAATAATACATTGTAAACCAAATTTTGTATACTGCCAAAAAGAAATAAAGTTGTATAACCTCCGCCATGGACTTGGCGCGTCTTTGTTTGCATTCTGGTGCCACGTGCCACGTGCAAGGCCTCGCACGTGCCACTTATGAAAACAGTTTACTGTTTATCTAACCTGTGGTTAATGGCCCAGCGTATGTAATGTAATTATTGGTGTTGGAATACACATGACAGCTAAAGGAAATTAGGCATACATTTGGCGGGAACATTTTATAGGGTAGAGCTTTCAAAAATGGACCCGTAAGTCAGCATTGTACTAGGTTGAGTTATGCAACGCACAAGAGGCATTAAGACATAGATTAAAAACGAGTCAGGGGAAGTGAACGTTTCTGCAGCCATTTTCCTAATTTTTTTTAAGTAGTTCGAAGTTTTATCGTTTTCCAGCTCCCTTGTAGATTTAGCTCTTCTTTTTTATTATAATATCCTTTTCCAGTTCTTGTGTAAACTTTACTGTGACTGCAGTGGTGTAATGTATAGATGTAGTATAACCTTTGGATTTATACTTGTATAAGTTGTATCATGTACTTGTAGAAATAATTATCATTATTATTATTGATGCGAAGCAAACACAGTAGTAAGTTAGTTTGCAAGAACTTCTAAAATCTTGCTTAGGTTTTACATTTCTGCAAACCAGAAATTGATATTCATTTGGATAGTTATATTATTTAGGTCATGGGTCATGTGGTTAGCTTCCCAGACTTGACTTGCATTTGTACACATTAAACTGCATATGCTACTTTTGTAACTACAGTGTATTTATGGCAGCCTCTCCCAATCCTGAAACTGACGTCCTGATCCTTATCCATTTTTCAGTAAGTGTTGCCTGGTTTATTCCTTCATCTGTCTTATATGTAAATTGCAAATATTTTTGCAAGTATTTGAGTATTTTTTAAATTAGGAGGAAAAAACTAGGCAGAATTGACTAAAGTTTTTCACATTCAGTTATTAATGTGTGGAAATGCTTAATTTCAATGACATCGTGATCATTTTTCATCAGATGTCTGCATAACATTTCCCTAAGTAGTTTGTCTCACAAGTTTGCTTCATGATCCTTAGTCAAGGCACACAAGCATATGGAACACAGTGTTAAGATAAGATAAGATTTCGTTTGGATTTTTAACCCCGGAGGGTTAGCCACCCAGGATAACCCAAGAAAGTCAGTGCGTCATCGAGGACTGTCTAACTTATTTCCATTGGGGTCCTTAATCTTGTCCCCCAGGATGCGACCCACACCAGTCGACTAACACTCAGGTACCTATTTGCTGCTAGGTGAACAGGACAATAGGTGTAAGGAAACGTGTCGGAATTTCCACCCGCCGGGAATCGAACCCGGGCCCTCCGTGTGTGGAGCGGGAGTTTTAGCCACCAGACCACCGGGCCACCAATTAATCTTGGATTGTTTTTCAGAAGCTGAAGGAAAAGAGGAGGAGGTTGCCCCAATAAAGGACAAAGAGACTGCAACAAAAGATTCTGGTAATTATTAGTTACTTTTTATTAATTTTAGCAAATGATTTATCATAGTGCAGAACGTTTTATGGTGCTGGAGATGCTAGTTTTAACACTTAAATTTTGTAGAATAAAATGGTTGAAAATATAGTTTTGGTGTTCTTAGTTTTAATGGGATCATTTTTATTTAGGAAAGAGTGAAAAATGTAGTGATAACAGCAGTGCACTCTAGGAAAGAGGCTGCATTATAGTACATAAGATATAAGACCTAATTTTATTTATAGTTAGTTTATTATGCATTATGAACTAATGCCATCAGATGGTTTAGACAGATAATGGTATGTTTAAATGTGGAAGCATTGGGGGAAATGTCATTAAGAGGGAAGATCGGCCACAATTAGTTGAAAATTTTTGAAAAGTTAAGTGTGAATGGAATAATAGAAGTTAGATGGAGAGTTAGTGGTTGTGTAACTATACCTGCATGTATGTTTCAGGTGATGGTAATACGGAAATAACACTATTGTTGTCCATGAGTCTGGGTATCTTCTTAAATTTTACAATTGAATAATTTTAATGAATTGACAGCTTGCGTACTGTGAATACTGGTACAGTAGGAACTATTTGACAAACATCCTTTCACTATAAATGGTATGGATATGGATATTTACCCTTGCATCAAAATTACTGTGACTAACAAATTTTTAATATGGCTGTACAATGCAAATAATACTTAGTTTCTGTTACTTTATAAACCTTTCTATAAATGTTAGTTTGTCAAAATAGCAGATATGTAGTAGTAACAGTTTAAGAAATCTGCAACTTAATGTCTACAACAGTAACTTCTAAACTGATTGCGATGTAATTTAAGTGTGCAGTGCTCAATGATGTCTACAAACTTAAACATTCATGATACATCTCACAACAGACTCTTAAGCCCCAAAGGATGTAATTTCTTGGTAGAACATCTCTGCTCTTATGTTACGTGCAAAATTTGTCAAAAAAAATAATGTGCTCTGTATTCAGGAAGTCAAGATGAGGATGCATCATGCCACTAGTATTCCAGATAGCAGTTAAAACATCAGTGGTGCTATAAATAAATGAGTTAAGTTTAGTGGAGAAAGCTGAAATGACTAAATGTGTATTGTGGAGACTGCCAGGAATGGTGTTTTTTTTTTTTTTTTTTTTTTCCCCTTTGTTGAAAAAGGGGCTGGTATTAAATATGGTATTTTGCAATGCTAGGAGTTTACAGGACGTGTGGGATAGCTCTTGATTGTATAAGTACAGAACATTATCTAGTTTAACTTTCTTTGAACAGTGAAACATCAAGTTATAAGCAGATTTTTGTTTTAAATCTCATTGGCCATCTCCCACCAAGATTGAGTGACCCTAAAAAGGAAACTTGTCCACCATCATCAGACAAATATACAAATTAAAACCTAACAAATCCCCAGGTCCTGATGAACTGTTTGTAGGGGTTTTAAAGGAATGCAAGGAGAAACTTAGCAAACCTTTGGCTAGTCTAGTTCAGCATATCACTACAAATGTGCATAGTGTCTGATAGGTGGAAAATATCAGATGTGATACCTATCAAAGCAGGAGACAGGTCCTTAGCTTCGAACTATACACCAATAAGCCTAACCTCCATTGTGGGAAAATTAATGGAATCAATAATTGCCAAGACTATTCGAAGTCACCTTGAGAAACAAATTGATTAATGAATCTCAGCTTGGTTTTACCAAGGGATGTTCCTTCCTTACAAATTTACTAACTTTTTTCACTAAGGTATTTGAAGGGGTAGATTATGGTAATGAATATGATAGGATTTCAGCAAGACTTGTGAGTTCCACATTGGAGATTCTCAAGGAAAGTAGGGCCACATGGAATAAGATATTTTTTCCCGGATAGAGGCATGGGTAACAGATGGGCAACAGAGTTTGCATAAACAGAGAGGAATCATTGTGGGGATGTGTCACAAGTGGTGTTCCACAGGGGTCAGTGTTGGGCCCATTGTACACAATTTACGTTAACGACATAGATGAGAGAAGAAATAGTAACATAAGCAAGTTTGCCAATGGCACCTAAATAGGTCATTGAATTAATTCTTGACAAGAACATTCGAGTGCTTCAGGAAGATCTGAATAGACTGATGCAATGGTCAGAGAAGTGGAGATGCAGTTTAATATAGACAAATGCAGAGTTCTTAGCGTTGGAAAGAAAAATAACCATGACACTCATAAACTAAATAATGTAGTTCTTAATTTTACTGATCACGAGAAAGATTTAGGAGTTCTGGTTAGAAGTAATCTAAAACCAAGACAGCAGTGCATAAGTGTTCATAATAAAGTGAATAGAACTCTTGGATTCATATCAAGAAGTATGAATCAAATAGAATTCTTGGCTTCATATCAAGAAGCATGAATAACAGGAGTCCTCAGGTTATTTTTCAACTCTGTCATTGGTTAGGCCTCATTTAGATCATACTGCACAGTTCTGGTCACAGTATTACAGAATGGATAGTGGACCCTTGGTTTTTGTCGATCTTGGTTATCGCCAATTTTGGTTTTGGCGACTTTTTTCGTGACTTTTTGGCTTTAGTTTTCGTTGATTACCTCCGTTGTCGTCAATCGTACGAAACCTGTCCAGTCCCCAGTCACAAGGGAAATTTTCCTGGAATGGTTTAACCCGTAAACAGTCCAAATGTATATATAAGTTCTTACTGCTAGCGCCCCAAACGTATATACGTTTCATTTTTCCTGCCTCCAAATTTGGCACGATTGGCCTGAGATGCCTGGTCAGCATAGAATGGGTCTTAACCCTTTCAGGGTCCAAGGCCAAAATCTGAAGTGGTGCCCCAGTGTCCAAGAATTTTTAAAAAAAAAATTGTTATTTTTTCTTATGAAATGATAGAGAATCTTTTTGTGAATGTAATAAAACAAAAAGTACAAAATTTGATGGAAAATTGACGAAATTATGCTCTCGTGAATTTTGATGTGTCAGCGATATTTACGAATCGGCGATTTTGCCGACTTTGACTCCCATTTTAGGTCAATTACATTATTCCAGTCGACCAAGTTCTTAGCTATTTCACTAGTATTACTTCTATTCTATCGATTGAGCACAAGAAATCGCCAAGTCAACTGTTTCAACTACAAAATAAAGTGACCGGAAATTGGTGATTTGGCCAATTTAACACAAAGTTCAAAATATTCCAATTTCAAAATAGGGTCCAGAATAAACAATGTAGGTATTCCTGGCACTAAACTACCATTTCCTCTGTTCATTAGTTATGTTTTGAAGCTTTACAAATGAATTCCATTTTGATTTTTTATTCACATAATGAATTTTTATTCACACCAAAAAATAGAAGATTTATTGTTATGCAATATTGTAATAATTGTATAAATATCATCACCACATTTGTGAATGTATATTAGACCCACCAGCTGGTGTGTATTAGACGTGTGAGGTCGTTTGTTTACTCCTGAACATTGGCAAAAATTTAACATTTCTGCCACTTTGAGCTCAGTTTCAAGCCATTTCCAGTGCTAAAACCAATCAAAATTATCTCTATTTCTGTAATATTTCTTCCATTCTATCAAATGAGACCAAGAAATCACAAATACAACTATAAAAAACATACGAAAAAACACTACAAAGTCGCTGTTTTAATCGAAAATCACGGTCTCAGTTTTTTTTCTCTCATTATACACAGTGTGCTGCAGGATTTGTTTTATGTGGTGCACACATACCACATAGTTGTATTCTCTCATATACTAGGCCCAAATTTACCACTCACAGTTTATCAGAGTGAGCTGAGCTCATGACGTAGATCTACGGTTTGGACACTGAACGTAAAGCCGTAGATCTACGGGACGGACCCTGAAAGGGTTAACACTCAGTGTGCACCATATTAAAAAAAAAAATCTGGGACCCCTTAATACCTTGTGGGAGTGCCAGCTAGAGCAAACAGTGTGGCAAACACCAAGGATTCACTGATGTAATGTCATATTAACACTCCCCTTTTAAGAGGAAAGTGATGTTAACCCCAAGTTTAGGGTCTGTCTATCTGTCTCTATCTCTTTTTGTCTGTCTCACAGGTATACACAAATACAATTATACATAGTGTAAATTACCTAGGATAACCTATAAAATCCTAAATGCTATACTGTGCTTGTAAATATAATGCATAAGAATACCAGTTGGTTCACAGTGGCTTTCTCTTAGACAGACAGAGAGACAAGCAGAGAGACGGAAAGAGACAAGCAGACAGAGATAATCAGAGATACAAGCTCATCAAATGTCACTCCTTATCTCTGCACCCTCGCTGGCGCCCATCAAATGTCATAGCTTATCTTGTCTTATCTCTGCACTATCTCATCTTATCTGCACCCTTACTGGCACCCATCAAATGTCATTGCTTATCTTATCTTATCACTGCCATGGATGCTTGTCAAGGACATTTGTCTTACACATTGCTTCAAGGGAACTTCTTCCTTCTTCTATACTCCCTGTAGCCAAAAATTGCTGGGACCTATAAATACTTTGTATACATGTATATTCCTAGACAATAGTAAATGATAAAGGCAGGTGTAAATGTCCAACTGTCAATGTGTTTGTGACAATTTGAGTACAATTTCAGTACCTAATATTAGTGTCAGAACAAAGTTTTTTTATGAAATGACAAGAACTACAATAAATTGTAATTATCAGAACATAAAAATTATATAAAATAATATAAAAATGAGAAAAAATGGTATATTGGCAACACTTCTACAAGCTGCAGGACTTGATGTTGCTGTCAGGTGAGCATTAAGTGCCAACTTTGTAGCCTCGTATCTCAGTAAGTACTAACCTTTTTTTTTTTTTTTTTTCAATCCTATAACACTTAGAAACATGTCCTTTATTTGCATAAAAAAAAAAATAATTTTTTTATTTTTTCAAAATATTTGGGGCACTGGGGTAGTGAACTTATATATATACGTTTGTACGTTTAGGGGTTAATGAAGTGTTTGGCCCCAGTGTGAAAA